TCAAATTAATAATTGAGATGTGAATTCTAATTTGTGAATTCATGTTGGTTAAGAAAGGTTCAGTATTCTACAAGACAAAAAATTTCAGGGATAACTTGTTTTCCCTATTTCACTGATGGTTTCTAAATCTGTTCCCCCCCCCCCCAAATCATTAATGGAGTCAGAAAGTAAAAATTGATAGGTTCCGTCCAACCAAACAAAAGTTCTAAGAACAGTGCTTGGGGTGTGAGTCATGGTTTATTGCTTTTCCAGGGACGTGTTGCTGGAGAGAAGATAAGTACTTTGACAGAGTTTCTGCTTCACATCCAATAATCAACTTTTAGTGTTTTCAAGATCAAAAACAGAAAGGTGAAAGTGATAGCTGTGAAATAACAGCAAGCTGATGCATGTTTGCATATATTTATTATGATTCAAGGGATTAAAAAGAATATGCTCCAAAGCCAGGAATATGGTTAAAATTAGTTCTCACCATACAATGATAACTGCAGATGGGAAGTATGTGGAGCAATATTTAGAGACAGGATAAATAAAATGATAATTATCTTTGGATATCATGCTTTCTCTACAAATAAGCAAATAATTAAATATTTCTGATTAAAAACTGACAGAAACAAGAAATATCCAGGCCTCATCTAGCTGTTAGGTTACCATTTTTACTGGGAACTGAACAAGGGGTATTTTTTTTTCTTTGAATTCATCATTAATAGTATTTTTCAAAGTACAGTAAAACCTTGGATTGGAAGTAACGTGGTTTGCGAGTGTTCTGCAAGATGAGCAAACATTTCTAATACACTTTAACATGGTAAATGAGCAATGTATTGCAATACGAGTAGTTTGTTTCTGGAACGAATTATGCTCGCAAACCAAGGTATTACTGTAGTTCTAGTTTAGTTTAGTTATTGCACCATTTTACCCTCTATAGAGATTCTGGAATTTATAACTCACTATTTTCCATAAATATTTGCCCACAGGTATCAAACCTAGAATATTTGAAGTATTTCTATATTGGTAATATAGAAATGGTTTACAGGTTTTTGGTTCTTTGTTTTGAAGTTTACAGGTTTTTGGTTTCATGTTTTGGGGAGGGTACATAAATTAAGGATTAGGTTAGGAAAGAAAGATTTTGCTAGTCTTGCCTTTTCTAGAGAAGAGCTCTCTGTAGAATGGGAGCCATACGTGTCTTCAGCCACTCTGCCTTTTTGTAGATCTTTGAACAAACCTACTGGTTTTCTGCCTCAGGACCTTTACACATGTCACTGCAGCTGAGAAACTATCTCCAACTACTCCTGCCCACCTCAAATCTTTACATGGTCAGTGTTTTCTAATTTTGGTAGACTTCAATTTATTTAATATTTCAATTTCAGAGAGGCTTACTGTGATTATTGGTCAAAGTAGGCTCCCTTCCTCATCAATTCTTGTTATATCTACTTCCTTTTCTTAGTAATGCTTGTTATTATTTTTACTATATCTTTGTTTATCATATGTTACCTATTTACCTCTAAAGGCAGGGAACATGCCTGTTATGTTTACCTGTACAGATCTAGCAACCCTCTGATATTTAGTAGGTCCTCAATAAATATTGTTAAATGAATGAAGGGTTGTAAGAGTACATCTGAACGAAGAGAAGAAAATTCTTGTTGAAGGGAGGATGCTAACCTGGAAAATTGATTAACATGTAGGGAATAATAAACTGATACTGGAAAAAGGTGGCAAACAGAGTAGTTAGAAGTTGCTATATTGACATCAAGCAGCTGCGAACAAATTACCAACAGAATGAGGGTGGAGAGTGTTGAGAATAATGTTGATATCCTATGTTGGAGATAACTAGTAATTTGGTTATTTCAAGGAAGAAAGATTCTATGAGCTTAAAGTATAGTGCATTCAATTCTAACTATTTTGTTTAAGCATATGTTACCAATACAAGGCATGGGCATAATTTTATATATCTTTATATTTACCATAGTGTCTTGCAATGTCTTATCCTTGGGGGGCACTCAATAGGTACTTGTGGAATACTCATTGCCTGAATGAAAGAATTGCAAATATTTACCCACTAGAAAAAACAGCTTAATTTTTGTTTTAGCTTAAGATAAGTTTGTGAGTTATAATTTGTAAGTTTGTAAGTGCACAGAGGAAAGTTCGCAAACTTAATTGTCCGACCTTCCGTATGTGTGTGTGTGTGTGTGTGTGTATACACTATATATATTTTTAACATACAAATTTAAAATATCACAAACTTTCTAGTCATTCTAATGAATTCTTTCTATCTTTCAAATATATTTATTGTCTGTAAGCTTGTATAGCCATTGTCTTGCCTTGTTCAGGCTTGAATTAATTATTTTCATCCAGAGAACACATAGTATATGTGCACACCATCACAGACACGTTGAGTGATATGTTCTAGATACTTTGAAAGCACAGCTTCGTGAGGAAGATACTGTTGTCTCCATTCTACTGGAGGGAAAACTAAAAATTTGAGTGGTAAAAAAATCATTCTCACTAAGGTATGCTGGAATTTGAACCTAGGTTACCTTGACTCCAAAATCTTGCCCCTGCTACATTACAGATTCCACCTCAAAAGCCTGGAAAGGTAGAGTTGGGGCAGATTAAATGTGGAGCTCATGACAAAAAACAATCATAGAATTTTGATTTTTTTTTGATTAGGTTAATATCCATGCCCTCCCCACTCAAAACTGTGTATTCTGAAAGATGTGCACATATAGATATAAAGTTGCATTAGTATATTTCTTCTATCCAAATAAGTATTTCCTCACTTAAATTCTCGTGTTGTATACTTTGACTATATAGTCTTTTACTTTGCTGAGTTTAAGCCACTTTATATTGTCACATATATAGTTGACACAGCCCTCTTTTTTTGGTATTATATATTAATAGAATTCTCTAATGTTTGATTCCCAATTTGATTATCCATGAGGTAAAGATTCTCCTTTCAATATCTATGAGGTAGAGAGCCCCAAACAAGATGAACTCAAAGAGGCCCTCACCAAGACACATAATAATTAAAATGCCAAATGCTAAAGATAGAGAGAATCTTAAAACAGCAAGAGAAAAGCAGTTAGTTATTTATAAGGTAGCTCCCATAAGACCGCCAGTTGATTTCTCAACTGAAACGTTGCAGGTCAGAAGGGATTGGCATGAAATATTCAAAGTGATGAAAAGCAAGGACCTACAACTAAGATTACTCTATTCAGCAAGGCTATCATTTAAAATCAAAGGACAGGTAAAGAGCTTCTCAGACCAGAAAAAGCTAAAGGAGTTCATCACCACCAAACCAGTATTATAGGAAATGTTAAAGGGACTTCTATAAGAAGATGAAAAAAGAACATCATTATATGAATAATAAAATAGCAATAACTACGTATTTATCAATAATTACTTTCAATTTAAATGGATTAAATGCTCCAATCAAAAGACACAGTGTGGCTGAATGGATAAGAAAACAAGACCCATACATATGCTGCCTACAAGAGACTCACTTCAGATCAAAAGACACACAGACTGAAAGTAAAGGGATAAGAAAGAGGTATTTCACGAAAATGGACAAAAACAAACAAATAAACAAAAAGCTGGGTAGCAATACTTACACCAGACAAAATAGACAAGAGACAAAGAAGGACCCAGTAATCCCACTTCTGGGTATTTAGCCGAAGAACTCAAAACATTACTTCGAAGGCACATGTTCATTGCAGCATTATTTACACTAGCCAAGATATGGAGGCAACCTGGGTGTCCACAGCATGGGAGATATAGCCTGTAATATTGTGATGACTGCATGGTGTCACATGGGTACTGAATTTATTGGGGTGATCACATTGTAAGTTATATAAATGCCTAATCACTGGTTTGTATACCTGAAACTAATATAATATTGTATGTCAACTGTAATTGAAAAATGAAAAAAAATATTAAAACAAACAAACAAACACACTTTAAATGCAGTGTATGAATCAGCTGCATATCCTCTCTCTGAGGTGCAGACAGGTTGGGGCGCTCGCTATAGTGTAAGTTTCGATATGGCTCCATATCTGAGGAGATTCTTCAGGTGCCTGCCAACATGACAGAAAATCCACTGAGCACAGCATAAGGAAGACCCTTCTCTATGCATGGGTGATTTGGATATAATATTTATCAGTGCCGATCACCTGGATTGCTTGGGCTGAGCTGGCTGGCTGGCTTGTGAGATTTTCCATTCTTCCCCCATTGTTCCATATGTTTTCTTTCCAAAACCTTTCCCTCTGTCCAAAAGAACAACATTTTCTACCAGCCTAAGTGGGGAAATAACAAAGCAAAAGTGCTCTCTTTTCACAGTCTGTTAAAAAGTTAGCCTTTAGAAAAACAACTTGTGCATGACGATGTAGGTTGAAAATTCATCTTATCCAGTACAGATGATGTCTCATTGGTGATTTAATAAGAACTATAGTTAAATCTGTAATGACAGCCCTATACAGAAGTGTAGCTTGTTCACTGCCCTTTTTTAAGAATGCTCGTTCAGAGTGAAAGACAAGAAATAAGCACTGTGAGAAGACTATGACATCTCCGATCCTACACATTTGATTCCATATTTTATCTCTGGCACCCACTCTGGACAATGACCTGTAGAGATATTTCTATCTCTAAGATCCTTTTCAATACTCAGTATTGGCTTCAGAGTTCAAGTCTTTCATTTCCTTGCCCATACTTATTTTGTATTTCATCGCATGCCACTTTCTTGCACTTGTCCTGTTAAAGAGCCCACCATGGCTAATTAATATTTAAAGGCTGGGATCATTTTGCAGGTTTTAGTTTAAGGGTAACCATAGCGCACACACACACACATTCATTATTAATAGCAGAGATGCACTGTAAGTTCTTGGGAATCTTCTTTCCTTTCAACGTTAGTTTCATAGGAGCGCCGCTATCACGAGAATTAGGCTCTGATATTGCCATGTGGCAGGTGGACTAATGCAATAACAAGGGATTCTGAATGATGTGACCTGTTTATGTGGCTGGATGTGACCATGCTAAAAAGGGAGATGAAACCAGAAAATGACCGGCCACGGAAAGTCCGGTTTCGGATCGCGTCGTCTCACAGTGGACGAGTTCTGAAGGAGGTGTATGAAGATGGGCAGCCATCTGGCTCTCTTGATTCTGAATGTGCCAGTATCTGTGGCATAGATGGACTAAGTGAGTCTGATGAACAGCAAAATGGCCACTTAGGATCAGAAAGTGATGAGCATGAGAACGACCAAGATAGCTTGCTGGTGTTAGCAAGAGCTGCCAGCGAGAAGGGTTTTGGTACAAGAAGAGTCAACATTTTAAGCAAAAATGGCACAGTCAGAGGCGTCAAATATAAAGTGAGTGCTGGCCAAGCTCTGTTTAACAATTTGACCAACGTATTACAGGTAAGTCACTGAGCTTTGCTCCTCTTGAACTATGCTCCTAACTCAGCATCTCAACACCTCTCTGTTCTCCAGTTTAAAGCAAGCCGCTCCTATTCATGACTCCTACATACTTCATGAGTCACTTTCCCATCTAAGATATTGTCTCAACAGCCATTGATTAAAAACAGGTCATTATGCTTAGCCAACTAGATTGGCTTCTCAAAGCCAAATTTCTAACATTTAAGGAATCTTTTCTTCCAGTGTGAAATTACTAACATAACATATCTATTTCTTAGCTAAGAAGAAAGACAGAATATAGGGTTCAAACCATCTGAGCCAAAATTAGACATTAATTTCTGGTTTATCATCCTTAAGACACCAGGTTAGTATTTATTGTTACTTGTATAGATATTTAAACCAGAAAAGATTGAGTGTTGCATTCTGTGGGGTTGGATTCCGTTAGAATGTTATGAAGATAAAAAAGGCTAACTTTGACTTTCTCCCACTCTTGAGGAGTTTGCAGATTTCATCTGAGGTATATTTTTCCATCAATTTGTCCTTAAGAACTCTTAGAGTGGCACATGAAAAAGTCACTCCTCTGTAAAAGTAAAGACTGAGACCCAGATTTTATAGTAAAACATTGCCCTTAAAATGTGATTGATTCTGCACAGTAATGGAGGAATATTTTATTCAGGTCCTGGGCCTTTGGCAATGATCTAATGTTAAGTGAAGTTTTTGAAATTGCCTGAAAGCATTGGTAAAATGACTTTCTGTTAAAAACAGGCATCATATTTCACGAATAGAATTCATAATCACTATCATTAAGGTAGCAAACCAATATTTTTCATTGTAATGCCATTTTATATTATTCTCAATATTTAAATAAAATGATATCTTGTGATGAATTATTCAATGCTTTGACATTACATAAAGCTGCGGGAGTGATAGGGAGAAAGGATTTTTAAAAAGGTACTTGACTATTTTTCATTTAAGGAAGTATTTGGAAAGATGACACCCTGAGGATTAAAAAAAAGCAATTAAAGGGTAAGAGCAGTTAAGATCAAAGGTTTGTTCTTTTTTATATATAAAACTTACTTGTGAAGGATTTCACAGGTTAGAAAGGGGATAGGGAACCAAAAATCAGAAACTGTTCACTATGTTTTGCTAGGTTGGAAACAATCTTGCACAGATTTCTAGAGATGTGACTATTAGGTTGAGATCATTTTAGTAGCCTCTGTGTTCCATCCAATGCAGAAATTATTGTTGCCCAGGTATAGACCAATACTCTATGACAATTAAGTTTTAAAATGATTACATTCATTGTGATTAATTTAGCTTGTTATGATTTGAATTGTTTTATGATTTGGAGAGTTATTTACAAAACTACTGTACTAATTTTAGTACTTTGATTTGGTTTCTTTGTTTAAATCTCCCAAAAGGCTATCATTTATGAGTAAATACGTGAAATCTTAAAAACCTACAAGAGAAAAACTTTTTCTCCCTGTGACTTTATCCTGATAGTGCTATAAATTTGCAAATAGGAAATAGAGGAAATTCCAAGTCAACATTATAGTACTAGATTAGGTTACAATATTTACTTGTATATTTTTTCTATGTATAATTCAATTGCCCCCTTTTCTGGAGAAAAAAAAATCCAGTAAAACTGTCATGTTTTAATAATGTGACCCCAATCCATTTACTCTTTGCTTTAAAAGGACAACAGTGGTTACTAACAGAAGCCCCTCAAAGTCTTTGATATTTAATCAGTTATTTTTCCAGCGGGCCCTTCTTTCTTTATAATGTGGGTCAAGTGATCAGCATATTGTAGGTATTCACAAATTTTGGCCATCATCATTAATTTAATCATCATCTTCGTGGAATGTTCTCTGATCTCTCCAGGACAAAACATAAGTTAAAGGAGCTTCTGCCTTGGATCAAGGCTGCCAGTCACACTATTTCAAGGATCTCTATTCGTGTCCTTGTCTATGTGAACAGCACCCCCTGGAGTTGTGCAATACAACCACACAGCAGTAGGTAGAGAGCTGACTTGGCTGCTTGCTGCTTGCTAAGGAATGAGTATGCCATAAGCGGTGATAAATGTCTTAGACATGTGTCTTAGGATGATGGAGTAGGTTCCCATAGGCACCCCACAAAGCAGTATCAGAGAAGCCCAAGTGTTAAGAGCAGAAGTTACAATTGAATGACTCGCATACACGGGTATGAGACCAGATATAACTCTCCTAGTTCTCATTTCCCATATCCCTTGGAAAGCAAGCAGCAAATGTAACTACCTATAACTGTAACAGCAATTTCTCTCAGGGAAGAAAAAGTGAGGTGTTGCATCTTGGATATTTGACTAAGGTTCCAATGCACAGGCAATCTCATTGCAGCAAGAAACTATGATTGAAGAAAGTCAGGTCTTTCTTTCTGTTTTAAGTTACAAAATCTTAAAGCATTCAACTTGAAATTTGAGAGGAAACAAAATATAAATACAATTTTTCAAAGACCCTGTAAAAAAATAGTTCCTCTCTATTGGTTCCCCATTTCGTTATTCCTGTCTCATAAAACATTGTCCTGCATCATGTAAAAATTTCAGCTGTACAGAGCATGCTTACGGGAATTATAATATTTGTTTAAAACATTTTTGCTTCTTAACAGCACTTATTTAGAAAGTTGTCTAAAAAGGGATATTAGAACAAATTTCCATTTCATTTGTTAGTTAACTTACCTGATAGAATTCTGGGTAATTGAGGGTGTGCACTATTAAACAAGGTTGTTAAGGATAGTGATGGTCCAGGAAGCAAAGAGAGAGAGGTGACCTGGATTCTCAGGGGAGCCTTGTAGACAGGTTTGCTGCTTCCTTGGTGAATCGCTGAAGGACCTCCAATTGGTTTAGATTATAGCTCCTCAGTTCCAGATGCTTGACTTTTTCAGTTCTCACAGAGATGACAAAAATGTCATGCTCAAGAGAAGCCAATTTAGAAATCTGAAAACCTAGAATCTAGTAATCACTTGGAGATATGCATTTATTAGAAGGTCTTTAGGTTGTTCTTGATACATTAAAATTTGAGAATAGTTGACCTAGAGTGTAAAAGGGAAATTTATCCGGTTTCCTAGAGTTAATAAACATATTCCTTAATGTTCTTATGTCTTCAATATTTAATGAGGAAAACGAAGAAGATACGTATTGATCTATGGTTTGTTAGATTGCCAGGAGAGTCTTTCCTGAGCCAAGGATAAATAAAGATATCCTGACAGACATGATATTCTAATATTTCCTGTTGGTATTCTGCTTTATCAATTAGTTGATTTAGGGACAGGCCCAGAAATATTACCAGTGCACTCGAATGTAAGTATAATGTTTTCATTGTTTTAAATAAATTCGTATGTAAGGATATTTCCATCTAGATAAATGATTTTGTTCTTCATTAATTGGCAATTTTAGAAAGAAATTGTTGTTTTTTTAGTTTTTAAAGCAGTCATTGTTACCTCATGTAAAACAAATTACAAAACCACTATTCAGCTCATAACTCTCATCACCCAGTTTTCATGATTGGATTTGAGATATAGCTACCTTGCTCTTAGCAATAGCATATTTCCTAAATTTCTTAGAGTGGATCAATGATGCAGATATTTAAGGTTATTTATTTCTTCTAACTTATTCTTGTAGAATTAAATTTCAGGCAGTAATTAAATTTCAAGCAGTACTCTTTTCTTCATCTCATCCTTAAACTTGTATACTTTGTTGTATATTCTGTTAGAATCTTCTATAATTTCCATAATTTTAATTTCCTTTTTTCTACAAATTTAAAATTATTGTATAGAGAAAAATATGTTCAAAGAAGGCAAGTAATTATATCACCTATAATTTGGTGACTCCTTTCTAAGAACTCAAATTTAAAAATATATTCTCTATCTATGTATGTACATGCTCATCTGTGGTTAGTATGCTTATGAGTATTCTAAGATTTCAAGACAAATAAAATAAAAGTACTATTGCATTTACAGAGTGATTTGCATTTTGCAAGAAGTTTTCACATACATTATTTTACTTCAGTGTACCCCAAATTTTGTGAAATAAGGAGAAAATTATTATAATGCCTGTTTTTAGATAACTGAGTGTCAGAGAAATTGAGCATCTGTCCCAAAGTGAGTACATAAGAACTCTGCCTTTCTCTATTTTAGCTCTGTTAGTTTTTAAAAGTATAATGCTTCATACAAAAACTCCCATCTTTACATTTTGAGGTTACAAATATGAAGATTTATAACACTAAATGTATCATGTTATAGTATAATCTGATCTTTTGAAAGTTCAACATTTGGTTAGCAGATTTTAAAATTCATTATTTATTGAAAATTCAGTCTTCGCCTAGGGAAGGTTTTGGGCAAATTTAAATAGCTTCTGTTCAATTTTAAATTGTGTTTTTAAAATTTATCAAAACATCATCTCTATAACATCATATGATTAAATTGTCATGAGATTGCAAGGGTTGCCAATGAAGAAAGGATGACTTGATTAACTCAAGGAAGACTGCTGCTCAGCATTGTTTACTAACTTTAGGATAAATAATATTAACAGAAGCTTCTGGCCATACTTATTATCTGTCTCTGGTCCACTGAATCTAGCTTTAGTGATAGAATAATATTCCAGTGAAAAGAAGGTGACACTCTTGATGGCTCCCTGGTCTCGGTGGTTTATTTGGACCATTCTGGAAAAGCAACAATAATAGTAAACATTGATTAAGTATATACTGAATATCAGGAACTGTTATGATTTATGTGCATTGGCATATTTACTTCTCACAGTAAGTATGAGTCAGTATCATTAATCAATGAATAATAATTAGAACTTCTTTTCTGTGTATAAAACATTAAGTTGTAGGTTTTAAACTCTCATTTATCCAGGGCAATTTTTATGTAATGTTCTATCAAAATAAGCCTCTACTAATGGAAATATTAATAAGCCTCTACTAATGGAAACAATTTTTAGCTATCAGAAAGTAGGCAAGAAGCTCTAGAAT